ATTGGGGAGGCTGAGACAAGAAGGCTGCTTGGGCCCAGGAGTTCAAGGCTGCAGTGAGCTATGACTGCGTTCCAGCCTAGGTGACAGAGTCCGACCCTGTCACTAAAAAAATAAAATGAAATACTCTTGAGCACATTAAAATATAAACATATTTTCATTTACAAAAAGATGCTCAAATATCGGTGAAATAATAAATCAGTCCAGACATGAAATACTGTCAGAATTGAACAATTTTAGAACTACTGGGATCTAAGATGATCTGGTGGAATTTGTTTCTTTAAAGATGAAAACAAGGCAAAACACAATAGTATTAATACCCTATAAAGTAACATTTTATAGCATTAAAGGAAGCTTCATTTTTAAAAAAAAGATTCATCCTCAGGCTCGAATCATCACTTTGTAATAACTACTACCTGATCCACCTGCTTAATACGGTCAAGTAAATTCACAGAACTGGCAGTCCTGCCACACTGTTAGCAAGGAAGCAGGAGAAGGAGAAATGCATTCAGTTGTTGAGCACTTTAGGGTTTACCGGCACTAAACTGCTTTAACTTCTGAAATCAAATAAGACGGATAGTACTAACACCCCATATACACAAGGGTACAGATTTGGAGGCTTGCCTATGATCACACAGAAAATAAGCTGTAGTTACAAAATTTAGACAAGTCTGACTCCTTCCACTACATCACAGTCAGTAAATGACACTTGGGGGAATGTCCTCTATAAAAGATTATCACTCTAAATGTTGAGACAATAAAGTATAAAGTATTAATCTGTAAGGGCCTTTCTAGTTTTACTGTTACATTTACACAAAATAGACAATTATTAAACTGATAAATGTAAAGTGGCAGAGGAGTTAATTCAATAATTAGTTCTTGGCCTGGATTCTCTTCTCTTCAGCAACCCATTAGGCTATTGGTTTCCTCAATATTTTAAATTCTCCCTTAATAAATCAATCAAAATTTAAGGAGAAAAAAATCATACCACCTCATGCTTTGCTGTCACTGAAAACTGACTTCTAGTCACAGCTCAATTAAAAATCTTGCATGTCCTAGCTCAACTCCTTTTCCATAGAGGCTATTCCAAATCTCCATCATTCTTTGGCAACCCCAATCTCTTCTTTCATCAGTTGGCATTATCCCTATCCTCTTAGAGACTTAGGGTTTTTTGGGGGGTTGCGGGGGCTATCTTTTTCTTGCAGTAGAGACCACAAACTTTGAACACTCTCATCTTTTCACCACCCAACTTATAAATATCTATATCCATTCTCTTTTCTTGTTTCTCAGTGCCTAGGAATACAGTTAGCCCTTAACTGATACTTGTTAAATGTGACAAATGAATTCAAGAACAACTCTTTTGCCCTGCTCCATCCCATCCCTTCCTACATTTTCAGGGATCTGTATCAGCTACCTTCTCTCTCTCTTCATCACCTACATCTTCAAATATCACCTCTGTGGCTCTTTCCCTTACAGCTTATTATCAATCTTCCACCCCCCACAAAAAGAAAAAAAAAATCAACTCTACAAACTTTACTTAGTGTTCCATCTCTTTCTTCTCTTTATAGTCAAGCTCCTTTAAAAAAAAATGTACAACTGGAAATTTCCTTTTTTGAGACAGGAAGGGTCTTGCTCTGTCACCCAGGCTGGAATGCACTGGAATACTGCGGCCTTGAAATCCTGAACTCAAGCCATTGTCTCACCTTATGGAAATTTTATATCAAGGAGGTACTATGAAGTAGGATAATGAAATTAAAGTTAATTTTTTTTTTCTTGAGATGGAGTCTCACTCTGTGCCCAGGCTGAAGTGCAGTAGCGCAATCTCGGCTCACTGCAACCTCTGCCTCTCGGGTTCAAACCATTCTCCTGCCTCAGCCTCCCAAGTAGCTGGGATTACAGGCGCGCACCACCACACCCGGCTAATTTTTTGTATTTTAGTATAGACAGGGTTTCACTATGTTGGCCAGGATGGTTTTGATCTCCTGATCTCATGATTTGCCACCTCAGCCTCCCAAAGTGCTGGGATTACAGGTATGAGCCACTGCATCCGGCCTAAAGTTAATTTTTGAAAGAATCCCTACCTTTTAAAAATACATACTGAAATATCCAGAGATGAAAAGCTGTATCTCAGTGTAGCTTCAAAACAGCCCACTGGAGAAGTAGGAATTACAGATGAAACAAAATTAGTTATGTGTGCATTTTTCAAGCTAGGTGATAGTTACACTGGAGTTCATTTTATTTTCTCTTCTTTTGTGTATGTATTATGGGAAATTTTTAGTATTTTTAAAAGTAGCATGTGCTCACTGATTCCTCTTCATTTCTACAAAGTTCTAAAATGATTTCTAGCCACAAAATACATCAAGCACTTCTCAGTCTTTATCTTACATGCCCTCTCCAATCAGCTGATACTCTGGACCACGCCATGCTTCTTACTTTCTACTCCTTTGTTTGTTATGCTCTCTCTCCCAGTTCTTCTTTCTCTCTGCCTGCTAACCACAGTCTCATTTGTAGGCTCCTCCCCCAAACACATACACACATCTCTTTTTCTTTCTTTTCTCTTGAGACAGAGTCCCGCTCTGTCACCAGGCTGGAGTGCAGTGGCGCCATTCTGGCTCACTACAACCTCCACCTCCTGGGTTCAAGCAATTCAACCTCCACCTCCAGGGTTCAGGTGAATAGCTAGGACTACAGGTGTGTACCATCATGCCCAGCTAATTTTTGTATTTTTAGTAGAGACAGGGTTTCACCATGCTGGCCAGGGTGGTCTCGATCTCTTGACCTGGTGATCCACCCACCTCCCAAAGTGCTGGGATTACAGGCATGAGCCATTCCACCCAGCCTACACACCTCTTAAATAAGAATTCCATATCCAAACCTCTTCCTTTTTCTTTTCTACTCATTACTCCAGCGTGAGCTGGTCCATTCTCCCTTGTAGCTTTAACTACTTATCTATATGCAAACTTCTAACTCCAGCCTGCTCTCTCTGAACTCCAGACTCAAATGCATCCCCACCTGAATATCCCACAGGAACCTCAAACAAATACTCAAAACTGAACTAATATCTTTATCTTTCACCCCAACAAAAACCAGTTCCTCCTCATATCAATGGGTTCACTATTACCTCAGTCGTGCTAGCCAGAAACTGAGGAATCAATCATCTTAGAGTTCCAAATCTCTCTAACTCCCAACACACAAACACTTATCAAGTCATATCAATTTTATCACTTAAACATTCCTTGAATCCATGTCTCTCTGTGACTCCAACTGCTTAATTCAGACTCTCTTCATTTCTCTACTGGATTTTTTTTTTCTATTATACAACTGGCTTTTCTACTACCACTCTAATCTTTTCCCTCCCAGGGCCATTCTCTACACTGGAGCTGGAGTTATCTTTCTAAAACACAAACCTGATGACACCACCACACTAGCTAAAATTCTTCAATGGCTGCCCCATGTCAAAATGAATTCTAAACTCTGAACACAGTACCAAGTACTTTAATATCTGGCCTCAACCACTAATTGCAAGTATTCTGGGATCCAGTCATTCAGAACTACCTAGGGTTCCCCAAATACAAAATACTCATTCTTCAATCTATCCTTTGCTCATCTTGTGCTATCCATTTGTCCTAGACTGACTTTCCTCATCATCACTCCAACGAAAGCTTATTCAACTATTTTAACACAAGTTAAAATTCAAATCATACTCGAGACCTCCCCTGACTTCTTTAGACAGAGTCAGTATCAGAGAATGATCAGTGCTTGAGCTCATGAAATGACCCACTTGAGCTGAAATCCCAGGTTCACCCTTTACCAACTATGATTTTGTACAAGGCCTCTAAAGCCTGTTTCCTCATCTCTAAAAATCAGTAACTGCTTCACCAACTGTTTTGAGAATTAACTAAGGAGCTGTATGCAAAATACTCTGCACAGCAACTTAAATATTCAATAAATGTTACTGTTATGTGATTATTTTCACTCTGGGCTCTGATAGCAATTTGAACATATCTCTACCACACTATTGTGATGACATGACTGTTTGCCCATGCAGGATACTATCTTTTTTCATCTCTTTATTCTCACCATCTGGCATAATGCCTGGCACATAGGTTCTTAACAAATTTTGAATGAATAAAATACTTCAATCCTTATACTGTATCACATAAGGCCTCAATTTTGCTTTCTACCTGTCTTACTAACTCTACTTTCCATCTCCTCCTTATACAAAATTGCTACCTCAAGTAAAATTTACACAGGTCAGCTTCATTTTAATTAAGAGAGAAATAATTTTATGGGATTTGTGTCTTTTTGTTTCTAAACACACACAAACTCACAATAATATCAACAACTCTCCAACTCACTTTATAAAGCAGCAAATTTCTAGAATGGTTATCTACCTTTTGAAAATTTTAAAGGGTCGCCAAGGAAGGTTTCCTAAATCTATGTCACCTCCCTTTACCACCAATTCTTGGAGCAACCCTAAGGACTCAGGTGTACTCCTAAGCATAATTAATTAATTCATTTAAAAACATGGTATTTTTCCTACTGAAAACATGCTCTGAGAAATTCTGAATAACACTGAAATAATCAAAGAAATTAATTATTGCTGCCTAAAGCTAAAAAAAAAGTATGTTTTTAAAAATTACTAGTAATTTAAAATTGAACTAATCAAAATATGTGTATGCACTGTCAGGATGGCAAGTGGGGGTGGGGTAGAGCACTCATTTCACAACCTTGAACCTCAAGAAATAAAATGCAAAAATGCAAAACGTTAAAAATGCCAGATACCACCATAAAATCGCAATGACATCTTTTTATCTATTTCCACACTTAACCTTGAAACATTACTGCCCTTTGAGTAATTACCGATTGATGGGTTTAATATGCAATCACCTCTGAGCTACTTTAAAACAAACATGACTAATCTAGAAATAAACGTATCCGGGAAAGGAGAAAAGACTGTTAAAACACGGTTTCTCGGGTCTCACATCCAACGTGTGACTTACATACGGTTCTGCACGGAGAAGCAGCAACCTGCGAGTGTCAGAGGTGCCGAAGGCCCGAGGCCCCGCAGCTTGGGCGGCTGCTCATCCCTCAGACTGTGCAGGGCGGTGGCCCAGACCAGGTGGGGCTGAGCGCTGCAGCCGGGGCGGGCCCAGCAACCGGGTGGGAAGCCCCAGGCTCACCTCCACTTCCCTTTCCCAACGCACAGGACCCAGTTCTGCGACCACCCAACAGCCCCCTCAAGACAAAGAGAGATTTTTTTCTGTCCGGGTCCGCTCAAAGTTTATCGGTCTTTCCCAGCGATCGGGGCCGCCGGGCTTTGTAGTTTGCCAGTCTGAGCTACCCCACCAAGGCCGCGAGCCCGAGGAGCCATTGAACTACAATCCCCATGATGCCCCGCGAGCCTAGCGCTCCGCCCAGTCCCCGCACAGGGGCCAGCGCCCAAGTAACCCCACCACGCACTGCCCAGGCATCTCCGGTGGTGGGAGGTCGGGAGGGGCTACAGGCTACAGCCCTCCCACAACCTGCTGTCCCGCTCTCGCCCCTGTCCCTCGGATTCATTACCTAGGAGGCGCAGGTCGGGGCACAGTCCGCGATGCGGTCCAGATGGGGTGGGGGTGGGGCACACGCCGCCGCCGCCGAGTCCGTTAGTTCGCTACGTGCGTGAAGAGGCTGCGGCGGCGGCGGCGTAGGGTTGCCATGGCATCCGCGGTCACGCGGTGGGGGCAGCGCGGGAGGGAGCGCGGGGCTCGTGAGTCCGCTCTGGGGCGGAGCTTGGAACGCCCTCATCGGTTTCCGGGGAAGGGAGGTGCTGCAGCACAGGTTGGGAGAGTAGGGAGACAGTGACATTGAGGAGGACGCGTGGCTGACTGAGCTCCAGTAGTGCTTGATGAGCCCGCCTCGACTGCGTCCAGCCCCCGTGGCGGGGCGCCTTCGTGCCTGCTGCTTTCGGAGTGGGCACCCGGGGCCCTTGGCGTCCGCCGCTGGGTCTGCCCGGATGGGATGTGTGGAACCTACGCCACCTCTGTGTTTATCTCCTATCAAACCGAATTGAAGTCGTTCGCACCCCCTTCCTCCATTCTCTGGAGAGTGGGATAGAAAGGAGTCCTTCAATAAGATGGAATGCATATGGTTTTTAGGATTATTCAGGATGTTTTGGAACTTGCAAATGGCATTGCTTTCGACAGAATTTGGATTTATGCTGTTTCTTGGGCAATAGTTTGTGGATTCCAAGATAAAAAGGTTAAGAACTTGGGCTTCTAAAACTAATTCTTAGTTCACGTCCTGCCCCTATAACATGGTAGCTGATGACCAGGGGTGCCCTTCTCACCTCTTGACGTTTTGGTCTGCAAAATGGAGATTACCATCTTGCATCTCTTGTAAGAAATAAACCTAGCATTTAACAATAGCTATTAAATATTAATTATTTAATCGATAGTGATAAAAGTCAGAATAGTGGTTGGCTGGCCGTCAGGGAGGGATTTGAGATTATTTTTTGTAGTGATGAAAAAGTTCTATAGCTAAGCGTTTCGGTTACAGAAGTATATGCATTTGTCAAAACTCTTGGAATGGGACATTTAAGATTTGTACATTTCACTGCATATAGATTTACCTCAAAAAGGAACATAAAAATGTGTTGTTGTTATTGTTATTAGAACTATGGACTCTAACAGAAACCACAGAGATGTTCTAGGCCCAATCTCTAGATTTTATAGATGAAAAAACTGAGGCCCAGAGATTAATAGAAAAAAAGAGGAAGGGAATTGAATTACTGACCTTGTCATTTTCTAGTAATGAATGTCACCTGAAAAATTATGGTAGAAAATAACAAGTCGCTATGCCTGTAATCCAGCTGAGTCATCCTACCGCAGAGATTTTCTTGAAATTGACTCAGTCCCTTATCCACCTTTTGTTGTTCGCCAAGGCCAATGCCCTCTCAACGACTGCACTTCTGGCTCTCCATTCTTACTTTTCTGAACACCTAAGACTTCTCCACATATCACCTCTTGCAACCCTTTTCTGTCTACTGCTGCTGACACATAATGTCGAAATTAGCCCCTTTTATTTGGCTGTTTCTATAGCCAACTCTGGAAGGTTTGCAGCAGATGAGTGGTTTTAAATTAAGGATGCAAAAAAAAACCTAAAATTAGAAATCCCTGCTTTTAAAAGGCCTCCAGTTCCACCAGTGGTATTTTTATCCGCTTACTCCCATTTCTTCATCATAACCTGTAACCTCCCACTATTGTACCATCTCTCTGGTCCCATCTCCCCCCTCCTCTCTTCTCTCTTTATAGAATATTTTTATCTCCATCTCCTAATCTGTGCCTTCATAGTTATCTACCATTCCTAAACTGTTTACCAAAGTATTTTCCTACACAAAGTAACTAAGAGGAACTCTGGTCCCAGCTATTAAAATATTTCACACAGGTATCCTCATATTCTATTTAATTCAGTCCACAGTGTAGCTGCTCAATAAATATTAAGCAGTTTATGTACGTGACCTGTTGTTATGGTTTGGCTGTGTCCCCACCCACCTTTCACCTTGTATTATAATAATCCCCATGTGTCAAGGCCAGGGCCTGCTGGAGGTAATTGAATCATGAGGATAGTTTCCCCCACACTGGTCTCATGGTAGTGAATGAGTCTCAAGATTTGATGGTTTAATAAATGGGAGTTCCCCTACACAAGCTCTTTTGCCTGCCACTGTGTAAGAAGTCCCTTTGCTCTTCCTCATCTTCTACCATGATTATGAGGCCTCCCCAGCCATGTGGAACTCAGTCCATTAAACCTCTTTCCTTTATAAATTACCCTGTCTTGGATATGTCTTTATTAGCAGCATGAAAATGGACTAACACCCCTGTCCAGACTTCCTTCACAGTGGGTTCACTTATGAAACCCATTTTCTTACATCGATAATAATGGTTTCCTCTATTTAGTATCAATGAGGAAACTATGTGATCATACCTGGAATCTGCTGTCTAAGAGGAAGAAAAGAAACCAAAGTAACCATAGCTTGTACAGAAAACACAACAACACTTAAGAGATGAAAGTCCAGAACAAAGTCTGAGTATTAAGCCATAGGACATCCTTATAGGACCTGTCACCTGCAGCAATTTGATCACAACTCTGGATATGTAATGAGCATGTCAATAAATTCTCCTTTACTGCTGGTGAAGATGATACTGATTTGCTACCGGCTGAGCACATGTTTGTGGTAGGGATGATAGGTTCACTGGATCCATCTCTCCCTCACCTGGTTTCCCTTGTGACCTGTTGCTTGTCTTTCTTTGCAAGGCAGCTGGCCAGGGTTGTAGTGCAGCCTACAGCCATGACGAAGTCTCCAAGTGCAAGGTCCCAATGCATAACGCTCCTTGTTTTGTGAAGCCAGGATCCCAGAAAATCAGCTCAACAGGACAGGCTTCTTGAGAATGGATGACGCAGCACAAACAGCTGCTTTGCAGTGAGTTGGAGGAGGGAGGACCACAAGCCACTGAAGCACAGTGGCTCACGTGGCTGTGGACAGGTAGGAAGAATAAGGACTGACGGTAAATCATAGTTACTTTGGACCTTTTCAAGTGATAAACACTCTATGCAAATCCAAAAGGTGGAGCTGAAAGCAGCACATTAATCCCCACAGGCAGCGTGGTCAAGAGGCACCACCCTCATTTACAGCATATCTGGTTCACAGTTGACGTCTTTCTCAGTTATGGGTGTTCTTGGGATCGCTAGCAATTGACTTTGCTCACCACCCTCCTTGATGGTCCATGACCTTGGATCTCTTCAGAGCTTTCCAACCAGACTTCATTATTGTTATTCACCAGCTCTTTTATCTACTCCTTAAATGTGGGGATCGTTGCCAAGGTCCAGTCACTACACCTTCTCCATTTACAAGCTTCCACCTCAGCCAAGGTTGACGCTCCGACTTCTCTTGCTAGTTCTGATCCGCAAGTTCCAGTACTGCACAAGCAGACCTCCTCTTCCTTCCTTAATTTGTTCTGTTACTTCTGTTCTCTACGCCTGAGTTGCCAGCCCCTTATCCCATCTAAGTTCTATGTATTTTGAAAACTAACCTTCACTTGAAACCTTTCCAAATCATTCATGCTCAGTCATATCACCCTGCTCTGTACTCAGAATATTTCCTGCCAGTCTCACTCCCTCAACAGCTTACCATACTGAGTGGCTGCTCATCTATCTTTTACTCATTGGCTTTTTGTCTTTTCTCAGTATATTTCAAGCTCCTCCAACGTGCATTTTTGGGTATTCTCAAAAACACCTTCGTAGTACCCTGTATATAATAAGGGCACAATAAATGTTTTTGACTGGTGGTTCTTTTAACTTTTCCCCTTTGCAAAACCTCCTTTATCTGGTAGCTCTTCCTCTTCTAGTGCTATACAGGACATTTGCAGCCTCTTGGTAAAAATTTCCCTGAAGCCTATAGAACTGTGGGCCCCCATACATATTCAGTGGAGGAGTACCTTGGGAAGTAATTCCTTAAGTCACTGTTGCTGTGGAAGGAATTCAGTATGTAAGTAGCACTGAATTCCAACATTCAGGCCCTCTTACCCTTGAAGATCTAGAACAGAATTTTCCTCACTGTGAGTCACAGCCTATTAGTAGGTCATGAAGTCAATGTGATGGGTCTCTTCCAGCTTTGTAATATTGACAATGTGATAAGGTAAGGTAGTGTAGGCTAAAGCAGAATACAATGGAATGTGATAGAAAATGAAATCCAGAGGGGATGTGCATGGTGAGGGTCAAGGATCATATGGCAGTTACTGAGCTGTCATCTTTCAGCTTTAAACCTACCCCCTGTCCTCTGTGTTGGTGGGGCTGGAATTGTGCAAACGTTTCTCCTTTGTCATCTGGGTGGAGAGGCAGGGGCAGCACAGCAGGACCAGAGGAAGAGCACAAGGCTGGAGGAAAGGGAAGCAATTTGCCCCTTCCTGATGGCCTGGTATGCTTGTCAGCATCACTCCTGCAACAGCCTTTTAGCCTGGTGGCAGTTTTACTGTCTCCAGCTTCTTGTTGTATCTCTGAACCAGCCTCATCTCCTCTCTTCTCCATCCACCCCAGAGCATGACCTGCAGCAGCGGCCAGGCAGTGTCCCTCTTCAGAAGCCTGTGCCGCAGCTTCACCAGGACTTCCCTCCAAACCCCAACCTCTCCTGCCTTGGATCTCCAGTCCTACAGGCAGGAGCTGCTTCTCGCAGGTATAACCTATGTGTTACTCCAGTGTTCCTTTTTTAATTTTTCAGTCCTTAAATATCTGACTAATCAATTCCCTGTGCTAAATTCTCGCTCTTGAAATATCTAAAGTTTCTTTTTTCCTGACTGGACC